CTATCGCTTTCCCTTTTTAGGTGTTAACTAGAGATTGGTGGTATCCACTGATCTTTTTCCTTGTTTTTTAAACAATAACACATTCTATTTTGGGAACGATGAAAACAAAAACAAAAATCTAGTTTTGTTTTTCATTCACTCCTTCACCCCACAAGTTGAATATGATCCCTCGCAAAAAGAAAATTTTACAGTGGAAAAGAAGAGCGTAGAAGAAACATTAACCCTGGAAAGGCATCACTCTTTCACCCTCCTCCATGATCAAGTTCAAATTTTTATGAGTTTTGGAGAGACCCAAAATCAAAATCACGTATGGAGATTGGTGACTATCTGTTTCTTCATATTTCTTTTTCTTTTTTCTTTTTTTTTTTACTTTGCTTTTCACGCAAGAAATATATAGAACAGAGCACATTCACGTGTACTTGGAAGACATGAACTATGAAAACAAGCATGTCATAGGCAGCAACAAAAAGGAACATGACATTGTATGAGAAAGGGAGAGTTTGAACTTACCTGATAATGCACCTGTAACCTGCAACCGTCTTTCTCCTCGTTCGATGTTTTTTCTCCTGTGCTTTTTTTTTTTTTCTTCCTCCTTTTATTCTTTATTCTATACACGCTTGTGTAAATTTTTTTTACACTAACAACTAATCATATTTTTTAATTTTTTAATAATGTTATGTCAGTTACTCATTTAATGAAATAAAAATAAAATAAAATAATTTAAAAGATATGATTTATTGTTATGTAAAAAGTTTTACACCGACAATGTATGTATAATTAACTCTTTTTTAATTTCCCTACTTTTAATTTTTTTTTTATCTCAATCTCACGATTTATCTTTCTTTGTTTCTTTTTTTATTTCCCCGTAATCTGCCCTGAATTATATGATATTTTGTGTGAAAGAAACAATTAAAAATCGTACATCTTTTCGTGATTGATAGAGAAAATTCAATTAGTCAAAATTTTTAAATATTAAATATTAACAAAATTGCTTGCAATCACGTAGTTATAAAAAGAAAATTAGAGATGTGATGCAAGATAAGTCGTGCTAAAAGCTAGGTAAAAGTAATTTCACTTTTTATTGGTTTATTTTTTCTTTTCTTTTAGTTATTTATGCTAATTATTATTCTTTTAATTTTGAAAATACAATTCAAATTACGGGTGTATTAAATTAAAATTTCAATGATTTTAAAAATATTTTTTATTATAAAAAAGTTTTTTAATATAAAAGATTATGTAATATTCAATTAAAATAATTAAGATTTTTTTAAGAGTTTATCAAAATTTGGTGATATTCAATTAAAATAATTAGGATTTTTTAAGGAGTTTGTCAAAATTTAGGAGTATTCAATTAAAACTTTTTTTACTTAATTTTTTTTGTTAATATTAAAAAATATAGAAATTTCAATACATTACTTTGAATACTGAAATTTTGTGAGATTTTTTAGTATAATTTATATGTAATTTACTCATCAAACAATTTCACTTTCACATGACATTTTTTTCTATTTCTATTTTTTCTCTTTCTTTTTTCTTTTTCTTAAGTCTTTTTTCTTGCCTTTGTTTCTTCTCTCTCATATTTTTTTTTCTCCTTCATTCTTGCTTCTCTCTTTTCTTTTCTTCTCTATCTCATTTTCTCTTTTTCTTTTTATTTATCTCTCTCATTTATCTATTTTTCTTCTTCTTTGTCTCGTACTCTTTTTTTTTCGCTTGTCTTTTTTGTTTCTTTTTCTCTCTCTCTCTCTCTTTCTTCTCTTTCTCTTTTATTCATTTCTCTCATTTATCTCTTCATCTTCTCCTCTTATTTTTTTTATCTATCAATTGATGTATAATTTATTAATATTTGTTTTTTTAATTATTAAATATTTAAAATTTTATATTATTAAATATTATCTATTGTTAAAATTTTTTAAATTATGAAAATTTAACCGTTTATTTTTAATAAAATTTAATATTGAAATATAAAATTTTGAAATATATATTAAGTCTCAAAATAAAATTGAAGTTTTCAATTTATGTCATACATCACATCCTTAAAAAAATGTGATTGAGAGGATATTTAGTATTTGTAAATCATGCTTCACAAAGTCTTGATTAAAATTCAAGTTTTAAAAATCTTTTAAAAAAATCTTAAAAATCATGACATTCTTATAAATTCTTTTAAAATCCATCAAAATTCACATAACTTTTTTATGCTAACATTATCTTTTGAAATTCTAATCCAATATACTCATTAGTTTCAAGTTTTAATTATTGTGTCTAACTATTAATAAGACTACTGAAATGTTGGATGAGCTATGACAATTTTATCAAGAAAAAAATGTCTTAGTAGATTAAAAAATAAAGAAGGTTTATAAATTGCTTAACTCATTTTATTTTTGATAGATTTTGCAAAGAGAAAACTACAAGAAAAAAGAAGTATAAGAGAAAATAATTTTTTAAATTATTTGGAAAAGGAGAAAATTAAGAAACAAGAGAAAATGCTAGTGGGATCTATAGTAATAGAATAAATGTCTTCATAGATAGAGATATTTTGTAAAAAGCTTAGAAAAATTATGAAATTTGAAAGTACATATACTTTTTTTTCTTTTTTCTTTCTTCTACTTCTCTCTTCTTTTAGTCCAAACACTTTAAAAAAAATACTAATTCATTTTATTTTTCATTCTCTCTTTATTTTTATTTTTCTCTTTTATACTTCTCTCGTTATTCAATGAAAGCATAAGTGATGAGGTTTTTAGAGATCTCAAAATTAGTATCTCATTTATCTTTAAAGACTAATCAAATGATTTTTATTACAGTGAAAAAAAATTAAACTATAAAACAATATGTTTTAAATATTTAATTTTAATATTATAATTTAATTGATAAAAACATATTTTACTTCTGTTACTTAATCAAGAATTGGAATTTAATTTATATCTTAGATAGAATTTTATTATGATTTGAATATATTTATTATCATCATATTTATAATATTAATTTAATTATCTATTTTATTGTGTAAATATCCAAATCATAACTATTTGATTAAAATAAAATTATAATAATTTTTAAAAATTAAACTGATTAAATTATAATTTTAAGAATTAAAATGACATTGTTACAATTTAAAAGGCTAAAATAACATTGTTTTACAATTTTAAATATTAAAATAATATTATTATAGTCATATATTATAATACATATGTTCCACGTAACACACCCACACGTAACACACCCACACAATACATTATACATATTATTCTACATATATGTCACATGTTAACTATGTATATGTCTCGTAATAGTATCGTGTTACATAAACATTTCCATTAAAAAAAAATAACTAATTTAACAAAAGACAAATTATCATTTTTTGAGACTTTAAAATTTCATTAAAATTAAAAACTAAATTGAGAACAATATACAATTTTAAAAATTTCAACATTTACTCATCTTAAAAATAAGATAAATGACTAAATGCTTCATGGAAAAAGTCTATATATAAGGAATTACAGGTACCTTAATAAATAGAGAAGAATTTGAGGATCAGAGCATTGTATGCCAGGACTAAATCTTTGGTTCTAATTACATCAGTGACTAGAGAACCTCCACACCATCAACCTATTCCGTGTCCGTCATTAACCACGAGACTCTAAGATTATAGAATGTTTTGTTTTCAAGCTGGCAAACATTACTGTTTAGAGCGCTTTAAGTATACCAATACGCCAATGCTCGTTAGAACAACAACACCTGCAAAAATACCACAACGGAGAGACAATACACTCGTTTTCTGTATACTTTCCGAACCAGCTGGTGATTTTGTTGGTGTCGTTGAATTGGCAAATTCCAAATCCAATTTTAAAGCCTGAAATACAAAGACGCTTAATTCAATGCACACATCAAAGGCATCAAATGAAAAAATCAATAAAAGACAACCTCACCTTCAGTCCTGCAGACCTAGCATAGCTGACAGCAGCCGCAAGATCGTTATCAGTCGCGATAATAATTTTATCACCATCATCGTCCTTATACTGGAAGAGAAGAGCCAGTATCATAATATGTGCATATAGTATAACCAAAAGGTAGACAAAACTAAACTAGAATCTAGAATAAAGCATACCAGCATTGTAGGGCGTTCTCCACCATTAACATCACCAATTATTTGTATGACAGCAGATAGAAGCTCCTCTTGATTTTCAGCACCTACAAAAAAGACAGCATCATATACTAGCAAGCTTTTCTAAAAATAGTTAATCCAGGTTTATGCACAGGATGTCCACAGCGACAGAAAAAATATGTAGAATCATATATTTAAGTTACTGCAAAGCTTTCCCCAAGATGTCACTCACCACAGTAGAATCGATGGACACGACCATTGGGATCCTCAAATTTAAAAGCAAATGAATTTCCAAAACCTACAGATTGATATGTAGACTTCGTGGTATCTGCCCCGTCCAAAGTTAGCAGTCCAGAAGCTTCACTGCAATCAGACATATATACTTATTTACAGAACAAAAACAACATATATTGAAAACAAAGTAGATATCACCAAGGTACCTATGGGTGTCACAATCTTCGGGAGGCTCTAGAGCAAAAGCTGAGTCCCAAAATTTTTGCATAACTGTGTTTGTCGCATCATTAGATGTTCCAGAGCTACTTTCAACCTACAAAGTGCACAACTTAGAAACAGGACACTAGCATCCGTATAATAGTGCCAAATGTGTATAATTCTTAATTCATAATATTTAAGATTATACATCTTTTTCATGTAACACGAGTGAACGCCCAACAGCTATAAAAATCATTATCATGATGCAGTGGGAAAGGGGAAGAGTAAGTGATACTCTGGTTCATTGGATCTGAGACTACCCAAGGCATCAAGTTTTGATAATTTGGGGAAATAGCCAAATCGTGAACAAATATCGCAATCCTTCAAATATAGACAGAAATTATCAATGCATTAATTTCATCAAGTCCAAGAGGCACAGATACTTTACATCACAACACTTTAATTCCTTCGATCAAATTGGATGTGCGCCAAAACAACACAGTCTATAATGGATGTAAACGTAGACATTTAAATTTTTAATTATGAAAAAAAAAAATTGAGTTAGAATCTAAAATATTGCAAATATCAAATAACAGCTAGGGAAAGATGTATCGATTATGGGTAAAGAAAAATCTTGAAAGTTAAATGCACAAAAACAGAAACTGATGCTCGATTATGGGTAACCTATTGCAATACCCAGCTATCACCAGAAAAACAGACACAAAATCCAGACACGCCACACACTGGATAACTGGAACATTTTCTACTTCAAAATATCCAATAAAAATAGCTTCTTCTATCGTGGATTTTATGTGTCTCAAACATGACATTTACCAGAGAAATTGCAGCATGAGTTATCTGCAAAACATCCGGACAAGCAATAACATTTCCATCTGCAAGTGCATAATAAATAAAAGTCAGCAAAACTATGTAAGAAAGTGCATGGGAAATTAAGAAAGCAAAACTAACCTCTGTCCACCACAGGAAGATGTAAAAACTTCCCATTGTGCATCATATGCAGCGCATCAAGAACTGTTGTCTCTAGAGATGCACATTCTGGGTTTGGAGTCATCACCTAATAAAAAATAAGTAATGAAGGGAAGAATAAAAAACAAATCAAATTAATTGTGAATACCTAGCAAAAATAAGCGCCAGCCAAAAGAAGAAAAGACATCTCAGACTCAGAATAAACCACTCTCCACTCAAGTATGGTTACTTCAGAAAATAAAATCATAACAACCTTTTCTGTAAGAGCCGAGTCTGGGGAGAGATTTTGAGCCACCACGCGCATAAGGATGTCTTTTGAACTGCAGAACAGATTTACAGGACAACATATTGTGCATAAAATAAAAATTGTCCAATGTCCATTTCATATGTATCATTCAAGGAGATTGCTTATCTAAAAAACATGCAGGCACGTATGTTATTTGCTACCGTAGATTTCTAAGAGAAGAGAATAAAGCATCAGGAAAAAGATTTTACGTGAGTATCCCCTGAATCTTGTTGTCCGTCACAATCACAGCTGAACTTACATACAACTCCCGCATCTTTTTTGCAGCTACATAGACAGAATCTGATACTGATGCAATAGCAACCCTAGAAACACATAAAGCTACAGAATGTTGTAAAACTATTATATCTGATTATAAAAGGGTCGCTTTGCAACACATTAAAACACAAGAAAATATAATGTGAAATTACTTTGTATTTTCACCGACTATGGTTGACAGGGAAGGTTTGAACATGCGCTCCCTCAATGTTTCAATGAAAGTAATTGGAGCTGACAAAAACATTGACAATTGAAACTGAATTATCATCATTACAATATGAAGAGAAAATATGGCAATTTCAACACTTCCAAATATTATTGTGAGAAGGCAGAGATATAGGCAGCAGAATTTGCAAAGGTAATGTCTTTCTCTTAATAGCATATGGTCCTCCATTACCCACTTTCCTTAAACTTCACAGAGAGAAGACCTTACAAATTAACCTCTAATGTATGTCATTGAGGTATAGGAATTCCTGGCAAAAATAGTTTCTTGGGTGAAAATTATATTATATTTTCTTTTAGTAACAAATAACCACACAAGTGATAAATGAATAGGTTATCACATTGACCACTCTTTGAACATTTCAAAAAAACAAAATATATTTACTGTAAAATAAGAGAGTGAAGTTTGGACCTCATAAAAAGAAAAATGAAAGAAAACAGCAAGCCAAAGCAATTGTTTGATAATTTTTCCAAACTTTTTTTTTGTATGCCAGTTCCTTTGAGAATTATTTTCTGCCACAAATATAACAATGCTTTAAATTAAGTTTAACAGCCAAGTCAGTTTAAGAGTAAGCCAAAAGGATTGATTCCGTATTTAAAATAAATAAATAAATAAAACTTACAAGTTCATGACAGTTATAAATATTAAACAGATGTACCACATGCAAGTATAAGCAATTCATGAGTTCATGTACAAGCAGGAAGCCTCATAAAAAAATGTATGTAAAAGGAAATCTGTTAACCAACCAGATACATTACTAGCCTGCTGGAGTTCCACTCCCTCAACTGCTGCAGCAACAGCACTCCCCTGTTGAGTAGCTTTCTCCACCCTTGATATGGCATCATAAAGACATCTGGTGATATCCAGCATGGCAATGACTTCTCCATTTTCCACAACAGGGAGGTGTCTGAATTTACCTATCAGTTGAAAAAGTCAAATCATATCTCTCACTTAATGAATTACTTTCCAGACTAAAAAAGTTGTATGCACAAAGAAAATCATTTACCCAATTCTATCGTAAAGAAGAAGAAAACCTAAAGAGCATAAAAATAAAACGGAATGAAAGCCATAAAACACACGACAGCCATGATTGCAGGAAACTCCCCACCCCACAAAACAAATAATAATAATAAATTTGTGCCTGTAATTACTAGATCCTAAATTTTGTCGCCAACCACTTTTTTTTTTGGTTCAGATGATGAGCTGAAGGATGGTAACAGAGGAGAAAGCAAATCACAGTCAAAAATCGAAAAAAATTTCATGTTTTTCAATATAGTGCAACTAGTAAACTCAACAACCACAACACGAAGCAAGAGAACCACCAACAAAGTTAAAGCCACAAATTCAGTGCCAAGAAAATTGAGGAATCGCATGGTGAGAGGAAGGAACGACAAACATACAAATATCAATTAATGACTTTCTAAATCGAAGTAGCCAAATAGTAGTTGTTATTACAAGGCAATAAAGTTATGACCCAACTCTAAGACTCCAAGATAGTACGTCATTTGTCATTAAGAAAGTTAATTAATTTAGTTGATAGTATGAAATCAGCTATTATAATAAGAATCGAACACTTTTGATTTGAATTTTAAAATATGAAAAAAAAGTACCGAGGGAATAGTGTTTCCTTTACTACTTTTATTCCCATATCTAGTTGTGGAACTAAAAGTGCTTTCCTCCAAACACAGATAACTTAAAACGCACTTGACGTGTTTAGAGACACAGGGCTCCACACAATATGCAAGTATACGTAACAAAAACGACCATGCATCGTAAAAGCTCTTCGAAACGCATGAATTCATAATACGTAATTAGAAACCAACCCTGGAGCATCTTCTGAACCGCATCAAGAGCGAGCGTATCCGACGTCACAAAAGTGGGATTCCGCGTCATTACTTTGGACACCGTGGTCTCCTCCGGCCTGAGCCCCTCGGCGACGACTCTAGTAGCAACGTCCTGAAAACGACACAGAAAAGCGTGAAACGACACGAAAGATTCGACGCAAGGCGCGAAGCACGCAGAGACACACACTGACCTTGTCAGTGAGAATTCCGGAAAGCAGAGCATTGGAATCAGTGAGCAAAACGGCGTCGATTCGGCGAGCCGCCATGCGCCTGCAGGCGTCGTAAACGGTGGTGCCGTCGGGGATGGTGAGAGCCTTGGACAACCGCAGCTTCCTAACCGTCCTTTCTCCGCCATCATCGCTAACGAAAATAACAACAACAATAATAAATAAATGAATGAATGAATGAAAAAGTTGAAATAATTAATGCATGAGAAGAAGGTGCGTACGGTGGCTGAATGGTTCCGTTGGGGGCGGAGATGGACTTTTTGTGGAGGCGTTTGGTTTTCTTGGCGGCGGTGGAGGTGCTCATCCTGAATGAGATTTGGCGCTTAATTTGTGAGAATTGGCAAATTTTATGATCCTCTAATATTTCTGTGTGTCTCTCTCTCCTCTTCATGTCAAATCACGATTCACGACACACACGACACAACTTAGGGTTCTGTGGGGCCCTCTTCCTTTCGTCATCTCCAAATTAAGATCCAATCCATTTCCTCTTGTACTTTTCCCACCACTCAGAGGTTCAAATTCTTTTCATTTTTTAGAGGTTCAAATGCTTTTGTTTTTATCTACTATTTAAATCACATTTTCTCTTCCACTTCTAATTTTTAATGAAATTATATATAATAAAAAAAAGGTAATTAATCATTTTTTTATCAAATAAAAAAGTCTAGTTCGTTAGAAAAATTTATTTTCCAAAACAAGTATTTTAAATAAATAATAATAATTACTGCTTGTGTTAATTAGTGTTATAAACAAATTTTGTATTGATTACACATTCTTAAAAAAAGACCATTGATAATTTAATATGCTAAAGATTGAGTAGTGTGGAATGTAACTTCTATTTATACCATTAATGAAAACTTTTGGGCAAATATCAGAATAAAAAATATATTAAAGGTAAAAATTGTGGGTATCAGTCTGTGGGATGAATTAGAATGAATTTATTTATAGTTCGAATTTTTAATTTAAAGCCAATTTTATAGTCAAATTCCAGCCAATCAAGACCTCATGTGTGTCATCACCATCAAAAGTTATACAATTTAAAATGTGTATCATCATCACCAACGCAACAAATCACCGTTTTAAAAGAAAAAAAAAATAATATATGTTACATGCTCTTTGAAATTACATGAAGGCATTTGAGACAAAAAAAAAAAACTTCTTTTGACTGGTAGTAAGAGACAAGAAAACATATAAATCAGTATTTTATTTTCTCGTACTTTCGGCTTTGCCTGATGAAATTTTAGCATCCATACGATTTTAAAAAATTATTACTTATCATAATTGGTAATATGTCTTTGCCTTACGTCCATTGTCATCATTGCATCACCTTTCCGCTTATTATTATTATCTTTGTTATTAATATTGTAATTATAACAATTATCGTTATTAATAATATTATAATAAAAACTTGTTATTATAATTAATATTAAAAATAATATTATAGTAAATTTAATATTAGTTTATTTAATTTGTATTGTGTATTTTTCTTGAAATAATATATAAATTATAAAAGTGTCTAATAATTTTGGTGTTTGTCATAATTAAACACACTCTAAATCTATTATCTCTATAAAGGAAATATTTAATTAACATTAATTAATACAAAAATAAAATACGTACATGATAATTTTGTTGATCTTATTTAGCTTTGACTAATAATAATGGAAACAAACCATCTTTTTAAGTGATTTCAAGATAATTTAGTTAAGCTAAATTATATTTTTAGTTTATTTATTTTTATCGATTTACAATTTTGGTCCCTCTATTTTAAAATAAAAATATAAATTCTCATTATTTTAAAAATGCAAAATTTTGTTCTTATCGCTAATTTAATGTTCGTTAATCGTTAACTTTTAACATTATTTGATGATCTGTTACCATTTAAGTGACATGATATTTAGTAACGTAGTATATGTAGATAAAAATTAAAAAATAACATACAAAATATCTTTGTTTGTATCTATTTTTAAGAGTTATTGATATTTATTTTATTAATAAAAAATTTATTTTAATATTTTTATAATTTTTTATAAATGTCATGTTATTAAATGTCACATCATTTAAATATGAATAAACATTAAAATTTAATGATTAGAAGATGTCAATTTGAAGAAAGAACCAAAATTCCATATTTTTTTAAATTAGAGAGACTGAATTTTTCTGTTTTAAAATAATAATAAAAATCAAAATTGAGATTGATACAAGAACTAAAAGTACAATTTAGCCATTTATTTATTTTCAACTTTAATTTGCTAGTTTTTTGATATAGAATTATATAATAATCTTATTCCATTGTTTGTTATATATATAT